GCCCTCAGAGGAGCCTGCAGTCCCTGCAGAGTGCCTAGAGGCAGTACAGCAACTCAAAAACAGCTCTCTGATAGGCTGCACATGCCACCGGCGCATGAAGCATCAAACTGCCTGCCTAGACATCTATTGGACTGTTCACCCTGCCCGCAGCCCTGGTAAGAGCAGACTAAGCTGGGGAGCTTGACTCTTGGCATCTGTTTTACAACCGTACAAGGTTTGGGGCGGGTGGTAGCTGCTTATGGGGGTGATGATGAAGCTATGCATTAGAGTGAAAGGTGGGGGAGGAAAGGGCCAGTATCCTCTGTGGCCTCCACCACACTGCCCTTCCTTTGGGCAGTGTAGCTCCCTCCTAGCAGAGCTCCAAAGGAGGCTGAGGCTCAACCTTGAACATAAAGCAGTAGAGATGAGTCAAAGAAAAGGGGCTTAACCCACAAACAGACGCCAAAGAACATCCACGACGGAAGAGATACTGGGAGGTAACACCTTGTTCCAGCCTTTAACAGAAAGGACACTTGTTAACCAGATGGGAGATGGTAAGAAAGAAAAAGGACATGAAAAGTCAAACCCAGGGCAGGCATGTGACCTAGCGGTTAAGTTGCCAGTTAAAGAACTTGTGCCCCACATCACAATACCTGGTTCCTGATTCGAGCTTCACGTCCCTGCATACCCTAGGATGCATCATGGATGGCTCTGGTAGCTGGGTCCCTGCCACCCATGTGGGAGACCCAGCTTCAGCCCAGCCCTGCACAGGCTGTTGTAGGCATTTAAGGAGTGAAGCAGTGGATGAGAACTCTCTGTCTCTGACCAGCTGTCATTTTCTTTCTCTCTGCCTCTGAAATTAAAAAAAAAAAAAATTCCCAGATGCATTATCAGGGAGCTGGATTGGAAGTAGAATAGCCAAACTGCTCAAACTGGTGCTCATATTGGATGCTGGTGTTGCAGCCTGTGGCTTAACCTACTGTACCACAATACCATCTCAACTCCTACCTATAGTAGTCAGCTTTTATTGGATTATTTTTATTGTGGCCACTTTTAAATAATGACTTGCCAAACACAGGTTGGGTTCTTGCTCATGTTCTGTGTTGGCTGTTTCGTGTATCTTCTCCATTTTGGGTTTCGGACTGAAGGTGCAGTCTTTCTTAGATGTTCTCTTCTCATGGCAGAAAGAAATGGACATTGGCAACAGCATGTGATGTCATTAGAAGCTTTCTAGATGTCACATATGCTACTTCTCACATTCACATCAAATCACACAGCTAAGCCTGACATCGCTATGATCAAGTTACTTCTCCTACAAGGAGACATCAAAAATCACATGGTGGGGTAGGTGTTAGGCCTAGCAGTTAAGGCACTAGTTGGGATGCCCATATCTCATTTCAAAATGCTTGGATTTGATTTTTTGGTCTGCCCCAAATTGTAGCTGCCTGCTAATGCAGACCCTGGGGGTTGATTCCTTGCCATCCACATAGGAGACCTAGATTGGGTTCCCAGCTCCCAGCCTTTGCCTGGCCCAGCTCAAGCCATTACCAACATTTGGGGAACAAATTAGCATATAAGAGCTCTCTTTCCTTGGGTCCCTTGGGTCCCCAAAGCTATATGGGAAACCAGGAAGAAGCTCCTGGCCCCTGGCTTCAGATTGGCCCAGCTTTGGCCATTGCGGCCATTTATGGAGTGAACCAGCAGGTTGGAAGATTTCTGTCTCTCCTTCTCTCTCTCTCTCTAATTGTCTTTCTTTTCTTTTTTTTTTTTTAAGATTTATTTATTTATTTGAAAGTCGAGCTACAGAGAGAGGAGAGGCAGAGAGAGAGAGAGAGAGAGAGAGAGGTCTTCCATCCAACAGTTTACTCCCCAATTGGCCACAATGGCTGGAGCTGTGCCAATCCAAAGCCAGGAGCCAGGAGCTTCCTCCTGGTCTCCCATGCAGGCGCAGGGACCCAAGCACTTGGGCCATCCTCTACTGCTTTCCCAGGCATAGCAGAGCTGGATCGGAAGTGGAGCAGCCGAGACTAGAACCAGCGCCCATATGGGATACGGCGTTGCAGGCCAGGGCGTTAACCTGCTGCGCCACAGCGCCAGCCCTGTAATTGTCTTTCAAAGCACATAAAACTTTAATCTTTAAAGAAAAATCAAAAAGAAGGCAAAGAGTAATTGAAAAAAGTAATGTGGTCCACTGTACTCCACCACTTGGTCAAAAATATTCATTTCCCTCCCTTCCACAAGTAAGATACACCTACCCACCTTCCAAGGAATAGTCCTAAAAGTTCTTTCCAAACATGACATTAGGATCTCATGATAGTTTCTACATTGACTCTAGATATGGCTCCTCCTTTTTGGTAAGTGCCTTTTTTTTTTTTTAAGATTTATTTTGTTTATTTGAAGGGTAGAGTGACACACAAATTGAGAGAGAGAGAAATCTTCCATCTGCTGGTTCACTCCCCAAATGACCATAATAGCTAGAGCTGGGCCAGGTTGAAGCCAGGAGTCTGGAACTCCATCTAGGTCTCACATGTTGGTGGCAGATGCCCAGGTTCTTGTGCCATCTTCTGCTGCTTTCTCAGGCACATTAGATGGGAGTTGGATCAGAAGCAGGGCAGGTAGGTCTCCAACTGGTGCTCCAGTATAGCATGTCATTGTCACAGGTAATGGCTTAACCTGCTGCACCACAACACTGGTCCCCAATGTGGGCTCCTCTTGATGTATGAACATATGAGCTAGAAGGAATGTATATTCAGTATACAATAATGTAACGGGATCAGGATTACCTGACAACAAGCACTCACAGAAAGGGAAAGAATGAGAGGCACACAGCAGACATTGATTCATAGCACTTCTGAAATCCTGCTAGGCATGTTTTCTTCCTGGAAATGGGGATTTTTCTTTAATAAGGCCCCGTTTCTGCTCGATGGGAGTAGTAGCCCTCCCCAGGGTTCTCTGGGGCTCTTGGCCCAGCCCTCTGGGAGGTCCTTCCTTCCCTGTTACTCTCTTTGTCCTTTTTGTAGAAGGGCATCAGAGACTACAACCCTCCTTGGGGACTGACCAAAATGCTCAACCTGCTTCCTGCCTGAGGAATGCTGGGAGCATTTTAAGTCTCAATAGTCCTAGTCTCCTTTAATCCAGCTCTTAGCAGCACAACTCTCTCAAAACATAATTGCTTTTTATATCTTTGATTTCTGTCATCTCGTGTGCCAGTAGCTTTTCCCACAATTCAAGCCAGGCATCTTTTCCTAGACCTAATTAGAGGTACCTTGTCCTTATCAGGCTTCTGTGGGAGAGCCACTACTTTAGCCTTTCTTTCTCTAAGTGCATTTGTCCAACTGGCAAGATTTATTGGATATCATCTTAATCAATTGGGAGATCTCCACAAACGGAATGATAGTCACGTAATTTATTTGGTCTTTTCCCAAGGCTGAGCTGTAATCAACCTTATCACTCAAAGTATTCTTCAGTTTTATCTTGTACCATTTGAATATGAGAAACAGTGGTACCTTTAATTCTGCAAGTCCTGGAATTTCTGGATTCTCTTTTCTGTTTCCTCCCTCCTTCCAAACTGGCCAATTCTTTTCTGAACTTACAGCCTTCTTTGATAGCACCTTGCTAAATGCAGCCCATGGCAATCAAGACATTCCAGTAACCTTCTGCTTCTTATCTTCCTCCCTTTAAAGCACGTGCTCGTCACCATATCATCTTTCTTCCAAGTTACTGCAGGAAGCAATTTTACCAAATGCTTCGCTGTGCATAATGAGGTCTGCCATCTTCCCATCCCCCAATAGCAGCTTCTTCACCACCTACTGCCTAGTGTGAAAGCCAGTGCCACACATTTCAGGTTTTCTTTTTTTATTGTTGTCACTGTAGCACACTGTTTCTAGGTACCAATGCATTTTCATATGCACAGCTGGTTAAGTCACCAGTTGGAGCAACTGCATCCTATGTCAGAGTGCTGGTTCTTGTCCTGGTTACTCAGCTTCCTGCTAATGCACATCCTGGTAGGCAGCAGATGATGGCTGAAGTGCATGGGTTCCTGCTAGCCATTCAGGAGATCCAGTCTGAGCTCTGGGTCTGGGTTTCTGAAATCAGTCTAGCTAGCTGTTTCTGGGGTAAGCATTTGGGGAATGAACCAGCAAATGGGCTGTCTCTATATATGTTTCTCTCTCTCTCTCTGCCTTTTAAATAAAATGAAAATAAATGAATAATTTAAAAGTACTTGAAAAAGAACTTTTATTAAAAGATAAGTTTGTTTTGCTCTAAAATTTAAAAAGTTCAGGAAGAATGCATACTATAAACTTTTTTTTTTTTTTTTTTGACAGGCAGAGTGGACAGTGAGAGAGAGAGACTAACAGAAAGGTCTTCCTTTTGCCGTTGGTTCACCCTCCAATGGCTGCCAAGGCTGGCGCGCTGCGGCCTGCACACCGCGCTGATCCGAAGGCAGGAGCCAGGTGCTTCTCCTGGTCTCCCATGGGGTGCAGGACCCAAGTACTTGGGCCATCCTCTACTGCACTCCCTTGCCATAGCAGAGAGCTGGCCTGGAAGAGGGGCAAGCGGGACAGAATCTGGCGCCCCGACCGGGACTAGAACCTGGTGTGCCGGCGCCGCAAGGCGGAAGATTAGCCTAGTGAGCCGTGGCACTGGCCCGAATGCATACTATAAAGAAACAGTGCATGGATTCCAAAAATGTTTTGCACCTAAATAAACATGTTTTTATCTATTTCCCATGAACTTTGGAAATGCCTTGTATTAGCCTTACTTATACCATAGTGGCCAGCATACAGTGTGCTCGGCAAATGGTTAGCTTTTTTATTCTCATCAGCTCATTCATTGACCTCAACCTGTGCCTTTACTGCCCTGTGTTTTTTTTCAGCTTGCACAGCTTGCAGCTGGTTAAGTAGAGGTTGTGCCTTTTCCTTTTCTGTGCAGGGATTTGAGGTCTGACTCAGTAGCCTCAGTTCCTCCTGCCCCACTCTGCCGTGTTCCTCAGCATTCTGGTGTCCCCACCTTGTCCCTAGGTGACTACGAGCTGGATGTCTCCCCCTATGAAGACACGGTGACCAGCAAACCCTGGAAAATGAATCTCAGCAAACTGAACATGCTCAAACCAGGTTGGAGGGCGCCCCTAGGCTGGGAATGGGAGGCTGGGCCTGGGCCTGGGGAAGGGTGGGGCACAAACTGGGAGATTCATACAGGAAAAGTTCCTAGTCTTTCATGTGATTGCAGGTGCACTTTGTTAGGGTAGAGGTCTGAGCTGTGGTTCATGATCTATTCTCACAGCAGTCCTCCCAGAACAACCATCAAAGAGAGCCCATTAGAGTTCCCTAGTTCCAACAGGCGGGTCCTGCAAAGGGTGCACTGGGAGTGGCAGCAGTTCCAGAAAAAATGTGTTGAAATGGACTATTTACCCGCATTCAAGGCAGCCAGGAAAGTAGTTTTTTTTTTTTTTTTTGTCCCTGAAGACCAGGAAATTGCTTGTTTTCAACCATTCTAATGGGATGGGCGAGGTGTTAGGCAAGGAGAACAGAGAGAGATGTGAGTGGTGGAGAGCCATCGGCCTGTCAAGAACTGTGATGCTTGTTTTTCAGGAAAGTGGGCCTGAGAGTTAATTGAGAAAGAATATACACACATGCACTCTCATTTTGAGAAATGTGAGCTTTTTTGTATAATCAGTTCTATATATTCACATTCTGAGGGGAAAAAAGCATAGAGAGGGAAAAAAAGCATGACAAACTCTCACTAGTAAATAGCCTGTTCCAATGACTCAGTCATGCTGGCTGTTGAAATATTCTGTTAATAGACACATCACCATAATTCCCCAAGTCTCACAGTATGGGAAACTTTCTACACGAATCAGCAAGTGAAAGATGAACAGATGACTTTTAAATTGAGTGGCATTGACAGGTGTAAAACAAACCAAAGGCCTGAATAGAGTTTGGTGACATCTGTTTGGGACCTGCAGAAAGTGCTTTAGAATATAGCAGGGTCTCAAGTTATGGTTTCCCTCCTCAGACCTCACTGCAAGCCTGAGTCAAGGGTTTTTGTTTGTTTGTTTGTTGTTTTTTAGGTTTTTTGTTTGTTTTTTGTGTGTTTTTGTTTTTGTTTTTGTTTTTGTTTTTGTTTTTTTGGTGGCAGGGGGTGGTGGTGGTGGTATTTGAACTTCCTCCTTGCTTGAATTCTAGATAAATGTGTGTTAGTAGGTGATGATGATGATCATGATGGTGATGAAGATAGTGGTGGTGATGGTGGTGATGTTGAGAATAGTGGTGGTGGTGGTGATGACGAGGATGATAAGGGTGAGGAGCAGGATGCCAAAGGCTTCGTAAAACATTTGGTTTGTGGCTAGAGGCTTAGGAGTGGCTTTCTTCAAGACAATCTTGGTTTATTCTTTGTCACACTGGAGATTTGCTCATGGAGACTGGGCACCAGGTGTGCCCGGTGATTCAGTGCTCCCCTCCCCCAGGCTCAGACCTCTGTCTCAAGTTCGCCATGCTGTGTACTCTTAATGACAAGTGCGACCGGCTGCGCAAGGCCTATGCGGAGGCTTGTTCGGGGCCCCGCTGCCAACGCCTCGCCTGCCTGGAGCAGCTGCGTGCCTTCTTTGAGAAGGCGGCAGAGCCCCACGCTCAAGGCCTGCTGCTGTGCCCGTGCGCGCCCACCGACCTTGGCTGCGGGGAGCGCCGCCGCAACACCATCGCCCCCAGCTGCGCGCTGCCACGTGTGGCCTCCAACTGCCTGGAGCTGCGGCGCCTCTGCCTCTCGGACCCACTGTGCAGGTGCGGGGCGTGGGTGGGCGGGGACCAAGCCGCACCCTTCTTTCTGCCTCCTCCCTCTGCGGGGCTGATTCTCACTTCCCAGGAGACCCTGGATCCGTTGGCCGCTGAGCCAGGTGGCCAACTTCAACAGTTTGTGCAACTTTTCTCGAAAGGATGTCTTTCTTTGTCTAAATACTTCAGAAAATATAAAAAATACATAAAAACACTCATATGGATAGACTTAAAAATTTTAAGATTTATTTGTTTATATGAAAGAGTTACAGAGAGAGAGAGGAGAGGCAGAAAGAGAAAGAAGTCCTCCATCCGGTGGTTCACTCCCAAATTGGTTGCAACAGTCAGAGTTGTGCCAATCCGAAGGCAGGAGCCAGGAGCCTCCTCCAGTCTCCCAACGGGTTCAGGGGTCCAAGGACTTGGGCCATCTTCTACTGCTTTCCCAGGCCATAGCAGAGAGCTGGATAGGAAGTGGAGCAGCAGGTCTCCAATCGGCGCCCATATGGATGGGGGCACTGCAGGCGGGGGCTTTACATGCTATGCTACAGCGCCGATTCCCAAAAATTTTTTGCACCAAAACTAATATCTTTTAATCCTGTTATCCATGGACTTTTCAAAGTACCTTCTTCATATATCCTCAGAATCTCTATTTTTGTTATCTGGATATAAAGATAACTGGGAGAGGCCAGTGCTGTGGTTTAGGGGGTTGAGCCTCCGCCTGCCAAACCAGCATCCCAGGTGGGTACCAATTCAAAACCAGGCTGCTGCACTTCCAAACCAACTCCCTACTAATGCAGATGGGAAAGCAGCAAAAGATGGCCCAGTGTTGGACCCCTGCCCCTTCATGGGAGACCTGGAGGAAGTTCCTGGCTCCTGGCTTCAGCCTGGCCCTAGCCCAGCCACTGCCATTGTGGTGACCTGGGGAGTGAACCAGCAGCTGGAAGATCTCTCCCTCTCACTGTCCTTCTCTCTGTATAACTCTGCCTTTCAAATAAATTAAAAAAAATTTTTTTAAATGCATAACTTAAAAACAAAAGAAAGATAACTGGAAAAAATGCTCCTCAAAATATGGTAAGGTATCTTCAAGTGACAAAATTTTAAATGGTAGGGAGTACTTCAAGAAGTTCTTGGAGGGGCTGCGTTGCAGGGCAGCAGGTTAAGCTGCTGCTTGGGACAACGGCTTCCTATATCTGAGCAGTGATTGGTCAGACCACTCTGTTAATGCTCCTAGGTAGGTGCAGCTTTTTGGACCCCTGTTAGCCATGTGGGAGTCCAGGATAGAGTTCCTGGCTCCTGGCTTTGACCTGGCCCAGTCTTGGCTATTGTGGGAGTGAACCAGCACATGGAAGATGTCTCTCTCCCTCCCTCTGTATCTGTCTCTCCCTCTCTCTGACATTCTTCCTTTCAATTAAATAAATCTTAAAAAAGAAAAAGTTCATAGAGGAGTGGGCATTAGTGGTTGGTCAGAGTACCTGGGTTTGAGCTCCAGCTTTGTTCCCGATTCCAGCTTATGCCCTTGGAAGTAGCAAGTGCCACTCATGTGGAAGAACAGGATGGAGTTTCAGGCTCCTGGCTTCAGCCTGGTCCAGCTCTGGGCTTTGCAGGAATTTGGGGTGTGAACCAGTGCACAGGAGATTCTCTCTATACATTTTTCTCTGTCAAGTAAATAAAATACAATTAAAAGTGTTTAAGTTTGACCAGCATTGTGGCAAAGTGGGTTGAACTGCTGTCTGTGATACTGGCTTCACATGTGAGCACTGGTTCAAGTCCCAGCTTCCTGCTAAAAACAAGAAGGTGGCCCAAATCCTTGTATACCCTGCTAGCCTCAAGGGAGACCAGGATGGAGTTCCTAGCTCCTGACTTGAACCTGACCAGCCCTGGCCATTGTGGCCATTTGGACTTGAACCTGACCAGCCCTGGCCATTGTGGCCATTTGGGGAGTGAACCAGCAGATAGAAAATCTCCCTCTCTCTGTTTCTCCCACCACCTGTAACTTTTTCAAATAAATAACAAATCTTTAAAAAATTATTTTAAGCTTATGTAAATGGTGCAAAACATTTTTGAAATCCATGTTTTTTATGGACTTTTTGAAGACCCCCTCATATGCATGGATTTCAAAAATTTTATCTTTTAATTCCATTTTCTACACACTTTCTGAAGTACCTTTGTATTGTGACTTGCTTTTTTTTTTTTTTTTTTAACTTATGGTACATATTTCATGAGCATTTTCCCATAGAAGCAGTATGGAGTTAAGATCAGCTCTGTTGTCAGACAGATAAGAAATTAAGTCTAGGGTCAGTGTAATCTAGAGCTCGCCAGGTAACATGAAATTCCATCACTTAACCTAAGGTTCTGCTTAGTCTTCTGTAATATCTGGGCTAGTAATAAAAATCTGGGAATCAAGTGAGAGTTAAATTAGATTTTATGTAGAGTACTTAGCTTAGCTTATCAGTACAGAGTAAGTGCTCAGTAAATGATAGTACTTATTTTTCTTTTTTATTTTATTTTATTTTATTTTTTTGACAGGCAGAGTGGACAATGAGAGAGAGAGACTAACAGAAAGGTCTTCCTTTTGCCGTTGGTTCACCCTCCAATGGCTGCCAAGGCTGGCGTGCTGCGCACCGCACTGATCTGATGGCAGGAGCTAGGTGCTTCTCCTGGTCTCCCATGAGGGTGCAGGGCCCAAGGACTTGGGCCATCCTCCGCTGCACTCCTGGGCCATAGCAGAGAGCTGGCCTGGAAGAGGGGCAACCGGGACAGAATCTGGCGCCCGACCGGGACTAGAACCCAGTGTGCCGGTGCCGCAAGGCGGAGGATTAGCCTAGTGAGCCACGGCGCCAGCCTTATTTTTATCATTTGCTATCCTTTAAGAACTTGATTTTTAAACACCTGCATTATATGGATGCCCCCTATTTAATTCCAACCATCATTCTGTTGTTGGATATTTCAGGTTTTCTTTTTTAATTTTTATTTATTTATTTGAGAGAGAGAGTTACAGACAGTGAGAGAGAGACAGAAAGGTCTTCCTTCCATTGGTTCACTCCCCAAATGGCCGCAACAGCAAGAGCTATGCCGATCTGAAGCCGGGAGCCAGGCGCTTCTTCCTGGTTTCCCATGCGGGTACAGGAGCCCAAGCACTTAGGCCATCCTCCACTGCTTTCCCAGGCCACAGCAGAGAGCTGGACTGGAAGAGGATCAACTGGGACTAGAACTGGCACCCATATGGGATGCCGGCGCCGCAGGTGGAGGATTAACCTAGTGCGCCATGGCGCTCTCTCCCTCAGTTGTTTTCTTTATTGCCATAAATAAAGCTGCAATAAACACTCTTTAAACTTTGTGCATAAATGCAATTTCTACTTAGGATGTGTTGCTGCAAGTTCTATTACTAAAGGACATGAAGATTTATAATGTATTCTTCAGAAACTCTGAAACTCCGATGTGGTTTCCTCTGCCTTTGAAGTTGTCATCTCTTAAAGTGACATGGTTGACAATAAGAGTCATGCCAACCTTGGTTTGCAACTTAGCTCTACCTTTTACTTCTTTGTAACCTTGAGCAAGTTACTTAACCTCTGTGACTATTACTTTCCTCAACTTCTGCATAGTCAAGGCTTTCAATAATCATAATACTAATATTTACTGTGTACTCACTATTTGCTGAATACTTTTTAAAGTATTTAACATGTATTAACTAACCTGATTTTCACAAGAACCCCATAAGATAGGTGCTATTTAAAAAAATCATTCTCAGTTTAAAAATGAAGAAACCAGAATAGAGAGAGGTTAAAAACCTTGTTCAAGATCAACTTTGCTCAAGATCAACCAGCTACTTAGTTGGGTTTAAGTTAGGTTTGGAATATGGGGGATCTGGTTTAGGACCTACTCATCTTAACTGCTCTGCCCTACCTATTATACATTTATGGAAAATGCAATTTCAAAAGCTTATTTTGGCACAAAAATGTTTTTAAAGACTTATTTATTTATCTGAAAGTCAGAGTTACACAGAGAGAGAAGGAGAGGAAGAGAGATAGAGAGAGAGAGGTCTTCCATCCATTGGTTCATTCCCCAAATGGCTGCACCGGCCAGAGCTGTGCTGATCCAAAGCCGGAGCCAAGAGTTTCCTCTGGGTCTTCCCACATGGGTTCAGGGGCCTAAGGACTTGGGCTGTCTTGTACTGCTTTCCCAGGCCATAGCAGAGAGTTGGATCAGAAGTGGAGCAGCTGGCTCTTGAATTGGTGCCCATACGGGATGCTAGCTACAGTGGCAGCTTTACCCACTATGCCACAGTGCTGGCTCCCCAAAAAATCTTAAAATCCATGCATAATAGGGATCGTCAAGAAGTTTATGGAATGTGTATTAAGGAAAAACCTATATGTGGGCTTCAATTTTTTTTTTTTTAAGATTTATTTACTTATTTGAAAGTCGTTGTGACAGAGAGAGAGGGAAAGACAGAGAAAGGTCTTCCATCCACTGGTTCATGCCACAGACGGCCAGAATAGCCAGGGTTTGGCCAGGCCAAAGTCAGGAGCCAGGAACTTAATCCAGTACTTGGGCCATCTAGTGCTGCTTTCCCCAGGCCATTAGCAGGGAGCTGGATCAGAAGTAAAGGAGCCAAGACTCTAACTGCATAGTAGGTGGTGGCTTTACTGGCTACATCACAATGACAGCCCCTCAAAATTCTTGCACCAAAATAAGCTTATCTTTTAATTCCATTTTTCCATGAACTTTTTGAAGTATCCCCATATTACTAATCCTCTTCAGTGAAGCCTACCCTGACACAATGAAAATACACCATGTCTTAGCAGTTCCTGGGCTAGATGGCTAAGATACTGTCCCTGTCTTCAAGGAGTTCATAGTTGAGTAGCAGTGACAGGGAAATGAAATATTAACCTAAAAGAAGGCAAAATGTAACAAAATATAGAAATGTGTACAGAAAAACATACTCATAATTTCATTACCTGAAAATAATCAGCTTTACCTATTGTAGGATGAATGTAAATAAAACAATATATAACATATATTGAACACTTAATATGTACCTGGCACTATGCCAAATGCAATGTAGCATTCTTTCTTTTTAATTTAAAAAAAAATATTGTTTCTTTTAAAGGCAGAATTAGAGAGAGAGAGAGAGCGAGAAAAAGAGTGAATATGCCATCTGATGGTGCACTCCAAAATGGCTGCAATGGCTAGGGCTGAGTCATGCGGAAACCAGGAGCTATGAACACCAGCCTGGTCTTCCACATGAGTTGCAGGGGCCCAGATACTTGGGCCATCTTCTGCTGTTTTCTCAGGTACATTAGCAGAGATCTGGACCAGAAGTGGAGTAGCCAGGACTTAAACAGAGTTCCAATATGGGATGCCAGTATTGCAAGCAGTGGCTTACTCCGCTATGCCATAACACCAGCTCCTAATACATGCAGTCTCTTATTTCATCCTCACAGAACTCCATGAGGTGGTACTGTTAACCTCTCTTTAATAGTCGAGAGAACAGGTGAAAGAAGCTGCCTGAGGTGTCATAACTATAGATTGTGGAGTCCAAATTCAGAGTGACATTCTGTGGGGACTGGGAGGTGGTGCATATCACTGTAATAGGGGCAGGCTTTCGCGGGGAGGAGGCCCTGAGCCAGACCCTGAAGGCAGAGGAGGATTTGACAGGAAGATGGACCTGCCAAGTAAAAGGGCAGCCAAGGTGAAGGTTGCAGGCCAGGCCCTCAGCCGGTCTAACGATGTTTCCCTTCTGCTAGATCACGCCTGGCAGATTTCCAGACCCACTGCCATCCCATGGATATCTTGGGGACTTGTGCAACAGAGCAGTCCAGATGTCTACGAGCATACCTGGGGCTGATTGGTAAGGCTGATAGGGAGCCACAGGTGGGCTGCCCCTGAGGCTAAGAATGCTCTGGAACCCCTGTGGTGTGATCCAGAGACAGGTGGGAGAGGGTCAGGAGCTGAAGTTTGGTTTAGCCTAGGCCCTGATAAACCCTTCCCTTTTTCACCCCACAGGGACTGCCATGACCCCCAACTTTGTCAGCAACGTCAATACCAGTGTTGCCTTAAGCTGCACCTGCCGAGGCAGTGGCAACCTGCAGGAGGAGTGTGAGCGGCTGGAAGCATCCTTTTCCCACAACCCCTGCCTCAGTGAGTATGCCCCCATTTGTTCCCAGCCCCTGTGGCCAAGTTAGATGGAGCTGGGGGAAGGAAAGAGCCTGGAACTGGCTCTGTCTCCTTAGACAGAGCAGCTCCTTCTCGTTCTGGGCCTTTCTTCTGTCTCCCCTCACCGAGTGCCCCCATACTCCCACACCATGTCTTCTCAGCCTGTGTGGCCCCTCAAGCAATGAGACAATATCCAATTCCCACTCCCACCCCCCACCCCACTGTCTCGTGTCCCAGATTCCCTATGACATTCCTTTACCTTCCTTGGGAGTCTGTGAGACACCCTGCCACCACCCTTTTCCACCTGCTTTCTCTCCTCTACTCAGCGAAGGCCATGACAGCTAAGATGCGTTTTCACAGCCAATTCTTCTCCCAGAATGGGGCGGACTCTACCTTTTCCGTGATGGAACACCAGGTAGGGCCTCCTGTGTTAATCCTTTGATAGCTTTACTGGCCCAGCTGGGGAAAATCCAAAGCAGTGAGACCAAGGGGAGTGAGGGCAAAAGGTCGACCTCCTTGTGCTATGACCTCTGATCAACAACCCAGGGAAAGGAGGAAGTCTTGGCTGAGGTGGTCCAGGTGGAGGTAGTTCCCTGAGCTGACTCCATTCCATTTCTTCCACAGAATCAAAGCCCTGCTCTGCGGCCACAGCCCTGGGTGCCCCTTCTGTTCTCCTGCACACTTATCTTGATTCTGCTTCTGAGCCTCTGGTAGCTGGACTTCCCTGGGGGCCCCCTTCCCCTCCACCACACCCAGCCGGACTTGCAGCCTGCAAGAGTGAGCAAAAGACAGGAAGGAGGTGCTGAGCATGGCATTGCAACCCTGACCTACCTGGCATGTCCAGGTGTGGACATGGTAGAAATAGGAACTATGATGACCTCCAGATCTTGATTATTGGCTGGTGCATCTGCCTTACCTTCCTACTCCCACCTCTGACTCAGGCTGCTCCTCTTTAGGACTTGGTGACCACAGGTTAATTGTATCCTCTGGCGGTGACCAGCTCCACCAAGCTTTTTCTTAATCCCCATGACCATTACCTGAAGTTTGACAAACCAGTCGTTTCTGTTTCATCTTCCAGGTGGGTAGGGCTGAGTGTTCTGAGGCAGCCTAGAAAGATAGTCCCTGTCGTGAGGAAGTCTGGAGCAGGACTCCTGTGCCCTTGTCTCCTTCTCCGAATGGGGGTGGGAACCTGTCGTCTGCCCTGGTCTGCCTGCGGAGTCCCACAGAGCTTGTGGGAATCAGGAGTCGGAGCCTTTGGGTTTGCTTTGTTCCTGCTGCTGTCCCCAAGTGCCCCCAGCCTCTTGGATCATGATTAAACAATTTGAACACCTTGCTCTTTTCTCATTTTCTCAAATTATGAACTTATGCAGCTTATGCAGAACTAAGTGTATACGGACACAAGAGCACAGGCCAGCCAATGAGGGGACACAGCCACCCTACTACCAACAGCTTTATGATTTCAGGCAAGTCTCTCAGCCTCCCTCTGTGTTCTTGACATAGAGTTGGAAGAAAACATAGCTTATGTGAGGCTTTGGACCTGGTATCTGTCCCAGTCATCTCCGGGGCATCTGCTCAAAGTGCTGAGATAGGCATCCTTAGTCTTCCGTAGCGTTTATTGAGCACTTGCTTGCATTGCTGGTCTGCCCCAGATCTCAATGGGTTTCAGAAAAAAGCAGAGACTGGAACTCAAAGAATTTGTAATCCTATTAGGGTGAGGAAACACCTACCCATGTGAAGTAACTGGAAGAATATATTTAAAGGCTGTGGCTATTTGTCTATTAATTCATTCCCTTACTCTTCCCATAAGCATCCGATAAGTGCTGGCTCTACAAGACATTGTCCTAGTGCAGGAGATTCCAGAGTAATAAGACTCAGATTCTATTTTCAGACCTTTCCCACTCCAGAGCAAAGATGCAGATAACAGTCAATAAGAGCAATGCAGTGTGATCGGTGCTATTCAATATTCATAATAACAACCCTCAATTATTGACCCCTACCATGTACCAAATACTACTGTGCACCTACTGTGTGCAAGTACATGCATCAGTTCATTTAATGCTCCAGCAGCACTAAACCCTGTAATCTTGAGCTTACTCTGGGCCTCACTATCCAAATCTGTATTATGGAAAAGAACAGAACCCACTTCCTCAAGGATGAGCTAATTGTGTAAAGAAAGGCATAATGCCTGACACATAGTAAGAAAGCAAAAAAGATAGCAATTTTTGTTTATGGCTTTTGTAGACAATTTGGGCAGTACAAACAATTCTAAAGAAAACAACATCTTTAAAATTTCTCTCTCAAGCTTCCAGACTGCTTCCTGCACCTCTGTGACCATAACAATCTATATCTCTATCTATAATTTTACACATACTGCGTATTGATGATTTTTTAAATTCTGGAATATCCCAAATTTAATTACAAGAGCCAGAGGATGGAGGGAAGGAAAGATAAGGGCCAACTGGAGCCGGCATTTTGGCATAGCAGTAGCGGGTTACGCTGTGAGGCCTGGCTGCTCTGCTTCTAATCCACATCCCTGCTAATGCACCTGGGAAGGCAGTGAATGATAGCTCAAAAATACTTGGTCCCTGCCTCCCATCTGGGAAACCCAGATGGAGTTCTGGGCTCCTGGCTCCTAAATTTGGCTTGACTCAGTCCTGGCTGTTGTGGCCATTTGGGGAGTGAACCAGTTGATGGAAGTTCTTTCTCTCTGTGTCTCTCCCTTTCTCCCTCTGCCTTTCAAATAGATAAAATAAATCTTAAAAAATAAAAAAATAAAAAAAAAGCTAACAGCTTTGGGCCAAACCAACAACATGCTCCACAGGGGCAAGTATTGTGATACAACAGGTTAAGCTGCTGCTTGGGATACCCATTCAAGCCCTGGCTACTCTGTTTCTGATCTAACTTCCTAGTGACGGATCCTAGGAGGCAGAATACGACGGCTCAAGTGCTTTTGCCCCTACAACCCACATGGAAAACCCTGATGGAATTCCTAGTTCCTGACCTCATCCTGGCCCAGCCTTGGCTATTGCAGACATTTGGGGAGTGAGTGAATCAGTAGAGGGAAGATTCTCTCTCTCTCTCTCATTCTGCCTTTCAAGTAGATAAAAATAAACATAAAAAAAAAAAAAAAACACCTCCCACATTCTCAATGTATGTTGAAACCTTACTTTAAAACCCTGTGAGGTTGGGCCAGCGCCGCGGCTCACTAGGCTAATCCCCTGCCTAGCGGCGCCGGCACACCGGGTTCTGGTCCCGGTCGGTCGGGGCGCCGGATTCTGTCCCGGTTGCCCCTCTTCCAGGCCAGCTCTCTGCTGTGGCCGGGGAGTGCAGTGGAGGATGGCCCAGGTGCTTGGGCCCTGCACCCCATGGGAGACCAGGAAAAGCACCTTGCTCCTGGCTCCTGCCATCGGATCAGCGCGGTGCGCTGGCCGCAGCGCGCCGGCCGCGGCAGCCATTGGAGGGTGAACCAACGGCAAAGGAGGACCTTTCTCTCTGTCTCTCTCTCTCACTGTCCACTCTGCCTGTCAAAAAAAAAAAAAAAAAAAAAAAAAACAAAACCTGTGAGGTTGACTATCAAGGCACCACTGCTTCCAATCAAGAAATAAGTTCTTTTCCTTATAGGTTGTCCTCTTAACCCAAACTGCCTTCTTCATGGTGTCCCACCCAGAATTCTTATCTATAACCCATGTAAGTTCAATGAAAGCATTTTATGCTTTTGTTTCCCAAAACATCTCTTTGTAAAATACTCCGGCTTTTTAGGTCTAGTGCACATTTTTCCAGCTACTACCTAGCCTTGCTGCTGTTGACTCAGGAAACGTGTCCCAGCATAGTCTTTCTTTCTGGCTAGCATTTTTTTTTTTTTTTTTGACAGGCAGAGTGGACAGTGAGAGAGAGAGAGAGAGAGAGAGAGAGAGAGAAAGGTCTTCCTTTTGCCGTTGGTTCACCCTCCAATGGCCGCCGCGGCCGGCGCACTGCGGCCGGCGCATTGTGCTGATCTGAAGCCAGGAGCCAGGTGCTTCTCCTGGTCTCCCATGCGGGTGCAGGGCCCAAGTCCTCCACTGCCTTCCTGGGCCACAGCAGAGAGCAGGCCTGGAAGAGGGGCAACCGGGACAGAATCCGGCGCCCCATCTGGGACTAGAACCCGGTGTGCCGGCACCGCTAGGTGGAGGATTTCTGGCTAGCATTTTTAATGGTTCAATAAGTCCTTTTATTTCAGTAATCTGTGTATCTCCAGAGTTCTGGGTCAACAATATCAAAGGGTAAGTTACAGACGTCTTCCAGCATCCATGAATAGAACTTTGTGTCTATCAACCTTTTTGTCAGCTACATGACATAGACTTGTGTGAGTGCGTATTTCTATATATGTAGTTTATTTAACCAGTTCTGTAGTGATGAATATTTGGTTACCTTTCTGTTTTTGTCTGAGCTCAGTTTTTTTTTTTTTTAATTTTTTATTTGACAGGCAGAGTTGGACAGTGAGAGAGAAAGACAGAGAGAAAGGTCTTCCTTCCGTTGGTTCACCCCCCAAATGGCTGCTACGGCTGGTGTGCTGCGCCGATCTGAAGCCAGGAGCCAGGCACTTTCCTCCTGGTCTCCCATGCAGGTGCAGGGGCCCAAGCACTTGGGCCATCCTCCACTGCCTTCCTGGGCCACAGCAGAGAGCTGGACTGGAAGAGGAGCAACCGGGACTAGAACGCGGCGCCCATATGGGATGCCGGCACTGCAGGTGGAGGATTAACCAAGTGAGCCATGGGCGCCAGCCCTGTGTCTTAGCTCAGTTTTAAAGCAGTGAAGGAGGTAACCGGGGATAGGATATACTTAGGAGCTGCTGGAGTGGTGGGTGGAATAGGCCAGCCTCACCGAGCATTCTTGTATTCCCATAGCCTGCCAAGCCCCAGGAAATGCTCAGCCAAGCTGACTCCCTGCAAACTCCAGAGGTACACTGGGTCGACCTTCCTTCCTCCTCCCTCCCAGAAAGATCTCTGAGCAGTCAAGGCTCCTCCATTTGCCTTGGCTCCATTAGGCTGGGGCTGGGGGTGTGAATGGTACAGACATTCCTTGCTAAGTGCTTGAATTAGACTAATAGGTCATCTATGCTTTTCTCTGAAGAGGGTCCAAATTCCTGGTAAACAATCAGACTACTCTCGCAGCCCAGGGACCAGAGCCAAGACCTGGAGTGGGGGCACAATGACTGGGCTAAAGCTTTAAATGGTGTTATGGCTGGCTGAGATGGTTAATGCCATTAGTGTAGCTTCTGGGTGACAAGGTGGGAAGGGCTACTGCAGCTTTGGTAAATGGAGAGGGCTGAATTACAGTCTGGAGTAGAAAGGCTGTCTTTTAAACAACTGTCTCCAAATTCAATCATTCATTCATTCAATAAACCCTTGTTGTTGTTTGTTGTTTTATCATTCAGTAAACCTTTAATAACCGGTGTCTCTGTCTTAGGCTTTGAATTTTTTACAAAAAAAAAAAAAAGTCTGTCTCTGTCCACTCATGAGCTACAATTTCAGGGAAGTGGCAACCCAGGACTCACCTAAGTTTAGGCAGTTGGGAGTCTCCAGTTATCCTGATTGATTTATTTATTTTATTTTCATTGCTTAGATGTTTTGTTTATTTTTAAATATTTATTGATTTGTTTGAAATATCTTGGTTGATTTTAACATTCATCTGTTTGACCTTGGGAAACCTTGTATACCTCTCTGAGCCAATGTTTCTTCATTGTTTTTGCTTTGCTATTTTTTTCTTAACAAATACATTAGCCAAAATCTGATTTAATTTAATTTCTATCAAAAGTCTAATTGGCAATGTCAAATAATATAACAATTTTAATGGTTTTATTTGGCAATGCTTTTGGCTTCCAATTTCTATTTATTTATTTGAAAAGTAGAGAAACGCAGACAGAGGCAACCAAAGAGAGATCTCCCATCTGCTGATTTACTCCTCAGTTGACTGCACTAGCCAGGGATGGGTCACATTGAAATCAGGAACCTAGAACTCAATTCCTATCTCCCACTTGGGTGGCAGGGACTACTTGAGCCATCACCTGCTGCCTCCCAGGGTGTGCATTATCAGGAAGCTGGAATGGAGGGCAGAGCCAGAACTCAAATCCAGGTACTTGAATATGAGATATTTCAAGCAGTATCTTAACATATCTTCCTGACTTCTTATTTCTACGGATGCTTATAAACGTGAAGTATCTGTGCCCATTTTTATATCCATGCATATTTAATTTAGATAACAGTAAAAATATTTAAAGTCAAGTCAGTTATTTTGAGGAATGGAACTTGTAACACTTACTATGGTGCCTGGTACAGGTTGAACACTCAGTAAATGACAGCTTTCATTTTTACTACTTCTGGGAGGTACCATGTATTCTGTTCTCTGCCCAGGAACAGTAGTAAGATGATGGTGCTGACTCCCCCTCCAGTTGTGGACTGCATTTTGGGTGGAGAAAGCAGGAGGACTTATTAATCAAGATGGAAGCCAGAGGTCTGAGTCTGTAACACAGGCCTTGAGGGGCCTTGAACAAATCATGAAAGCAGAGGAAGTCAGTGTCTTAGCTAGTGCTCTGATGGGTAGGAGGAACAGAAACATGGCAAGGGTGGGGTTGGGAGGAGGCACAGGCATTTCATGTAGGGGTTAAGTTACCTCTTGGGTTGCTTCCATACCCTATCAGAGTGCCTGGTTAAAGTGCTGGCTAATCTGCTTCCAATCCAGCTTGCTGAGAACACACACCCTGGGATGCAGTGGTGATGGCCCAAGTACTTGGGTCCCTGCCGCCTATGTGAAACACCTAGATTGAGTTCTGGGCTCCTGACTTCAGCCTGGCCCAGCTCTGTCTGTTGCAGGCATATAGAGAGTGAATAAGCAATTGCAGGATCTCCTTCCCTTTGTCTATTATTTTCAGATAAAATGAAAATAAAAAGAAACAACAGTAAAAAGAAACACTGGAATTACTTTGTAAAAGGGGAATGTTTTGCAACCCAGTCCCAGGAAGTTCGGCCAGCCCTTGGGAAAGTGAGGAACCAGTCTTGGGCCTCATCCCTTGAATGGCTGGACACCTTAGACCATCCACTGGACTCTCTGCAGACCTGCTTCCTTTGCATGACCTTCCACTCCAGGGTCTGCAGCTGCCTAATCTCCTACACCCATCCCAATTCCAAATTCACAGAGAAAAGAAATCTGATTATTTGGGTTCAGGTTCTAGACTGGCTTTTCGGGGTGAAGGATCCAGCCCAGACCTGTTAACTGGGTAAAAGAAACAAAGGGACATATACCACTGAAGTAATTATATGACCCCAAACCTTTTAGTGGAGAACAGTTCAGAGAAGGCAGTGCAGGTCCGGAGGACCCCCCAGGGAGTTGGAGTATCTATTAACAATCACCTGGGCTCTGACTTGGTTTCTTACACCTTTTTTTTTTTTTTTTTTTTTGACAGGCAGAGTGGACAGTGAGAGAGAGAGAGAGAGAGAGAAAGGTCTTCCTTTTGCCGTTGGTTCACCCTCCAATGGCTGCTGCGGCCGGCGCGCTGCGGCCGGCGCACCGCACTGATCCGATGGCAGGAGCCAGGAGCCAGGTACTTCTCCTGGTCTCCCATGGGGTGCAGGGCCCAAGCACCTGGGCCATCCTCCACTGCACTCCCTGGCCACAGCAGAGAGCTGGCCTGGAAGAGGGGCAACCGGGACAGAATCCGGCGCCCCAACCGGGACTAGAACCCGGTGTGCCGGCGCCGCTAGGCGGAGGATTAGCCTAGTGAGCCACGGCGCCGGCCCTGACTTGGTTTCTTCTGTGGCTTACTCCCAGGCCTAGGAGTATCTTCCCTCAGTTTCCTTCTTGGATGCACAGAAGAGGTGGGCTACAGGATCGCAGAAGCAATGCTACAGCTCCTCCGTTTCTGAGAACCATCCTGGGAGTAGATCTGAGTGGAGGTGGTTCATGGGTGCAGGAGGGGGATTTGCTGTTGGGGTGCTTGCTAGACTTCTGGGGCTGACAGCTGAAGAATAAGGCAAAGGCAGGGCATCAGAATATCCCACGCCCTATGTGCCGCTTTGGCCGGAGCTGGCTTAGAGCTGAAGGCAGTTGAGTAGCAGCAGCAGCTGGAAGAGTTCTCTGTCCTCCCTTTAACTGCCTGAAAGCAGGATATAAATTTTCCTTTGAGGAAGGTGCCTTCCCTCTAGCAGAATGAGGAGAGTGACTTAGGATCAAAAACAGGGGCTTGACATCAAGATGAGTTTTCATAAACAGACCTTACCCAAATAGCACTTGGCTTTCGTTAGTTCTCTCTGTATATCCTGGTCGCCTTCCCACTTACTGTCCCTTCAAGTCCAAATCCTTTTTCTTAAGTTCCCAAGTCTAGCTGCTTCTTGCCTTTTGCTTCTTTTCTGTGAACTCTCATGCATATATTAATAAAAGTTGTGTGCCTTTTCTCCTGCTAATCTGTCATTTGTTAGGTTCGTGGGCCTCCACGCACTGAACATAAGAGAATAAAGGAAAAGCTTTTTTTTTTCCTACCCAACAAAAACAGTACTACTTTCCTGGCTGATAACCTGCCATCTTCCCCTCTGTAGCCCATCTGACCAATAGTTGTGGGCTCTTGCCCTCATTCCTCTCTTGGGTTCTCTGGTTCTTAGAAACTTCAGTCTCTTTTTGGCATCTCTGTTTCTCTCTGGAGGAGGTCTGGAACCTGAGAAATTTGATTCAAAAAATTCTACCTTTAAATACTGAGCTAGTCAAAGGCTTATCTGGGATTCTGTGGATGGATGACAATAATGAAATATTGTATTTATTGAGAGTTTAATGTGTACCAGGCTCCCTGTTAATGACTTAATATGCATATTACATTTAATTTTCATAACTATCCTGTATTATTTTTCTGATTTTATAAGAAGGATTTAGCAAAGCCTACAAATTTGTCCAAGGTTATAGAGCCGATCCCAGAATCAAACCCAAGTCTTCCTGATTCTCTGGCACAGTGTGTGACTCGTCACATTCGTGTAGTATTTGGGTGAGATCACACATCCTGCACTATAGCAGAGGCCAGGATTGGGGGGTAGGGTGGGAGGGTTTTCTGTAAGAGAAGCTATTTGGGTCAAGCCTTGAAGAATGGGGAGGATTTAATAGGCAGAAACAGGAAAAGGGCACCCCAGAGATCAGCATGAGCAAACCCAGAGAAAGCAAAGGGCAGAGAGCATTGGGGGATGACAAGGAGGCTGCTGTGACTGGAGCTGTGTGAGCAGATTTGCTCCCAGGTCTTCCTGTCACTCTTCTCCCCACCACCCTCACCCCCTCACTGTGCAAGGGAAGGGACAGCCTCTGCAGACACACCCAGCTGCGGGACTGTGGGTCTGCAAGCCTGGCCCAGTGAGCAGGCAGCAATCCTAGGAAACAGGTATGCGGAATTCTGCCCTAGCATGCTTAGTATCTCTGGCTGTGGGAAGCTCCATAGCTTCTCAACCCTTGTGTGACATCTCAGGGCAGAGGTCAGTGTGTGTGGGTGAGAGGATGAAGGGAGCCTGTGTTTGGGCTGGGAACAGTGACAAGCAGCATGGGATAGCCCATCCCCCACAGAAGGGGCCCTGCATACAGCCCTTGCCTGGCGCTGACCCTAATACCAGTTGCTGTGGTCTGCTGAAGCGGTAGGACATTTGTTCCGAAAGCCTAGTCTTCCCTGAACTTTGGTTGGCTTTGGGTTTCTGAGCACCTGCTGTGACCTGGGGAAGGCAGGCAGTAGGTTGACACAGAGATAGATAAAGACAAGTTTTGTTGTGGAAACAACCAATAGAGATGGCATGATTTGAGTACTTGGTTAAGTGTAAAACACTGCATTAAGAGCTCTATAAGTAAGTATATCTATTTTAAAGCTGAGCTGCCTAACGGTTTTGTCTCCACATGGTGCCAATCTGGGAAAAAATTAAATAATAATTGCAGTCTTTTGAAAAATATATTCAGAAAGATATAATACATTAATTTATTTTTATTTGAAAGACAGAGACATACAAATCTTCCATCTGTTGGCTCATTCCCCAAATGCCCACAACAGCCAGAGTTGGGCCCAGGCCAAAGCCAGGAGCCCAGAACTCAATCCAGTTTTCCCACGTGAGTGGCAGGTACTGAAGTACTTGAGTCATCATCTGCTGCCTCCAAGATTTAAAACCCTCTGTCCTCATCTCTCTGTGTATTGCACGCACAAAGCAGTCCCCCAGCCCAACCCTCTCTTCCCCTCCATACTCTCCCAGAGGAGAGACTGAGGCCACGAAATAGTATATAGTTAATGTTTTTTTCTTTAGCTCACATATGTAATAAAATTTAAACTTCCTCACAGAGCTGTGAGGGCAAGCACCTATGAATATTGTTCCCCTTTTACAGATGTAGAAGCAGATGTCTAGAGGTTAAATCTTGCCCAAGGTCACAAAACTAATCACTGACAAGTGGGT